AAGAAGAAGAAGATAATGAAGAAGGAAATTCATTAATGGAAATTATCATTTTTAATTCTATTCATGCAATTGAATATATCCTTGGATGTATTTCTAATACAGCATCATATCTTAGATTATGGGCTTTGTCATTGGCACATGCTCAATTAGGATCAGTCTTTTTGGAAAATGTGTTTTATTTATTAATGGAAATGAATATCTTTATTACAATCTTTGTTGGATTTGCTGTTTGGGCTTTGATTACATTGGCAATTCTTATTGGTATGGAGTCATTATCTGCATTCTTACATACATTGAGACTTCATTGGATTGAATTCCAAAATAAATTCTACATGGGAGATGGTATTCCTTTCATCCCTCTACGTTTACCAAAACAACCTTTCCCACCAAATAACTAATCTTTTTTTCTTATTTTTGTTATTTCATCTTATCTTTTTCAACTGTTTTTATAAAAATTATAATAATAGTTTTTTGGTTTATACTTCAACAATGTCTACGTCATGTTTCAATTTTACTTCGAGAGTTATTGCATTTTTGTTCAAACCTAAAAATTAATAAAAATTGAATCTTTTTTTCATTTCATTCTTATTTTATTTTTAAAAACAAAAGATAAGTTTATATTTTTGGAGAAAGTTATTTTTTTTTTTTGGATAAGAGTGTATAATAACCAATATATAATATTCAATAAAATGATATTTCAGTAGGATTAATACAAAAAATAGAAATGCCTAAAAGACCTTTATTTGAGAATGGAATGTCAAACCAACTTTTTGAAAGTGAAAATGTTTTGAAGAGAAGTAACTCAACTTTGTAAACAAAATATCTCCGAGTAATAAATAAGAGAAATGAAAAATAACAAAATAAAGTGCTTTGAATGATGTGGTACGGAATAGTCATATCTCATAAAAGGGTATCATCTGAGAAATACAAACAGAAGAATTTAATTTAACAATGAATACCGCCATTACCATTTCATTCAGCATTCATTATAAAACTAATTTTGGTGAAGAGTTATTTCTTAATCTTGATGATTCAACTTGTAGAAAATTAACTTGGACGCCAGGACATATTTGGATGGGAACTGTTACAGTAGTTCGACCAAGGAGTATTCGTTGGTGGTATTCAGTGGTAAAAGATGACTCAGTAATACGTATCGAAGGTATGATATATCCACGTACATACAGATTAGATAAATTACATAAATACTTTCATGTTTTTGATAGGTGGGAAAATCCTCTCTCTAGTGTATCTCCATTAACATTGTTAGAGAAGCCAACTCCAACAATTAGTGATGATCAACTTAATAGGATTCGTTCAAAACTTTCTATTAAACCAAAAAAATCTCCTTATATCACATCATTCTTAGTAAGAATCCCAAGTTCAATACGAAGTTGTGCTGATTGTTAAATGATAATGTAAAAAAAAAATGTAATAATTAATATTTTTGTACCTATGATTAGTTTCCTTTTCTTTATATAAAGATGTTATTTCTTATTCAAATTACTCTTTCGTTTTGGTTATTCTTTTTTATTTACTTAATCAAACAAAGAAAAAAAGGTTAATATTTTTTTTTCTTATGAAATAAATTCAAAAAAAATAATACACTATTAATATTTAATTTATATCTTCAGTAAATAGAATTAAGGGTATTTTAATATTTGTTTGTGAGATTCTTGATAAAATTGAATTTATCACTTAAAGAAGCTAATTTTAATTCGTAGACACTCATAGAAATAAAACAATAAAATCTTATCATCATCTATTTTTTGATGAATAAAGACATTGTTGTTTATTCTTTGTTATTTGTATTAAAAGTATTTTTTTGTTTTTTAGACAAAATAATCTTGAACACTCAAAAATCATTATTAACTCAAATAAAGTATAAACAAATTCTATCAAAAATGTTGAAGTGGATTATATTTTGTTAGAACAAAGTTTTTATGAATAAAAAAATAAGGAGTATTAACAATATGATTTTTTGATTTTTTTATAAGTTATTTTACTATAATTCATACAAAAACTAGATTTATTAATAAAGAGATGAAAAAAGTGATAAATCCACCTTCATTTTATTTTCGACCTTCACATTGTTTGTTAATTGGTAATATTAATAAAAATAATAGTTGTGATGATTTATGTCGAAAATTTACGCAATATGGAATGGTTGTTGATTTAATTAATAATGTCCAGAAGAATGGGACTATTCAAGTTACGTACGTTTGTTTGATTTCTATATAACTAAAATGATTAGTGTTGATTGAAAAGAATGATTTGAGAGAAGCAGAATGGGCAAAACGTTGTTTGGATGGACAAATGTTCAATGAAAGAAGTATTAATGTTGAATATAGTCTTCCTTTATATTCAACTAATAATCCTAGAGGAATATTATTAAATTGTAATTTAGCAATTTGTTGTAGAATGACACATCATAAAACAAACTTAAGTTGTTTTATTAAGTTATTTCAAAGGTTTGGAGAAATTTATAGTATTTGGGGGTCTTCAAATGGTAAAATCTTTTTTGTTGAATATTATCAACTTCAAGATCACCTTAATGCATTAACAAGTATATCATCATATTCAGATGATTCAATTCAATTTAATTGTAAGTCAATTCAATATTCTCCACATCAAATTGAGATATTAATGACACCATTAAATCATTATAAAATGTTTTCTTCTAACTTTTTTAGTAATAACAATGAACAAACATTGGATAAAGTTCAAATAAATCAACCATTGTCTCAAAACATTGTTGTAGATAAATCAAAAATTGAAGAAATATTGAGACACATTAATGATGAACTTGCTAAAAAGAAGATAGAAGAAAAAGAACATGAATTATCCACTACTTCAACAAAAGAAGTAATTTCTAATCTTCAAAGACAACAAGGACAACGTCCTAAAGAGAAACAAAAAGATAAAACAATAAAAGAATATACTAAACCAAATAAAATACAACGATCCTATTAAATATAAAAAACAGTTTGTTATTGTTTAAGTGAGAATAGAATTTTGTAGAGTCAATGATAGTAATTAAATATTTCATATGAATTTTTTATATTTATATTATTTAAATTTAATATTTCAATTTGAGTATCAACCACCATCTTTATTATAGTTGATGGGATTTTAATAGAAGTTAATCCAAGTTGAAGTAAAGTAAGACAATGAAGTGGAGAATTAATTTCTAATTTTGTTAGATTATTACAATTCATCAATGATAAAGATACTAAGTTAGGTAAATTACTTATATATTCTAATGATGAACAATCAAAACAATTAAGAGTTTTTAATAATGATAGATTTTTAATAGAAATTATAGGAGAATGAGTAATTTTTAATGAAGTAAGTGTTGAAGGAAATAGAAATTCTTGTTCTTCTGTTTTTATATCTAATGAAATTAGTTTTAATGTATCTAAATTAGGTATTGGGACATTTGTTATAAGATGTAAGACAGAAGTAGGTAATTCAAAAGAAATAGACTGAGATATAAGAATGTCTATATTTTGTATTGATGTTAGTTCATTTAAAGAATATATTCCTTGTGTATTAGTATCATCAGATTCACTTTGAGACTCATTAGGAGATAATGGTTGTTGATATTTTGTTGAAATAGTAAATGGTCTAAGATGAATTGTTTCTGGTAAATACATTTGACAAATTGGCATTATTGAACCATCTGTAATATGTTCTAATCCAAATGTAAGTTCTTTATAAGATGTTTTTAATATAACTTGTTTAGTAAGAATTGAGTTAGTAATTTTTGGAGAAAGTGGTCCAGTGTAAGAGAGAATAATTTGATTATTCTTTTTCAATTCATTAACACAATAATCATCAAGATTTTCCATTTGAACTTCAATTAGTATTTGTTTATTTGAATTTAATATCCTTGTGACTCTCTGTATCATTGTGTTGAATTGATGAATTTTTTCAGTACCAACAAAGAATGGTGTAGAACAATATGAACATTTGATAATAATTCGTTTTAAATTTGGTAATGAAAGAAGATCATTCCAAGGGTATTTTAAAACTTCATGTTCTACTTCATCTAAATTAACAAAATTGTAATCAATTTTAAATGTAAAACATTCTAATTGGCATAGGTCTTTTATGTTTTGTATAAATCCATTTCCATTAACTACAAATTTAAGTAATTGGGTATTAACAATATCTAAGTCTGGTGATTCCCTAAATGTTATTCTTTGAATTCCAGATGGAATATGTTTAACAACATCATTAGAGTCATTAAATACATTTATTTGTAATGTTTCACATGAAGGAAATATTTGGTTTGAACGTTCATTGTACCATTGTGCATATCTTAATGAACAAATAGCTCTTTTACATTTTTTATTCACTTGAACAAAGTTTTGAAATGTTTTGAACGTTGTAAAGTAAAGACTGACGTTCATCAGATATACCATTTCCAACTTTACCATAGTAAAATACTGTCTTTTAAAAATTTCAAGATTTCTTAAAATGAAAAGGAAAACTAAAATATAACAAATTCATATCTTACTTTATCTACTTTTAAATCTCTTGTTTATGTTTGTTTATTTTTTATTTGTATTTCAAAAAAA